CTCAGACCAAGAAAACGACTTTGAAATCATGTAGAGTCTTGGTAGGATGAAGATTAAAATAACAGAAGACATGTAGCATTATTATTATGGAAACAATATTATGGATGTATCGCACTGAGCATATAATAGATAATTCCTTCATTTTATTTCTATAAGAAAGACTGTAGCATCATTTGAAAAACAACTTCTGAAAAACGGTGTTAAAGATATTGGGAGGATGCTTTGGGTTAGCGGTAACTTTGCTGGCTAATATTCGAGGTTCGATTTCTTGCGGTGGACAGAGTGCAGATAGCCCATTGTGTAACTTTGTTCGATAACAACAACCTTTAAGTTATGCGGTGGGTCAGCGGTAAGTTTATGAACTTACACCGCTAAAATCCGGAGTTCGATCCTCCGCGGTGAACGGGTTGCATATAACCCATTTTGCAGATCTGCATGAAGAAAACAACAACAATCAAACAAATCACCTGTAGGAGTATTCATAAGGCGTAGAGGTAATGTAATAAACATGCATAATATCAACAAAAGAACAACGTCACATGTTGAATTAAAATATGTAATAACGCGAGTGTTTTTCGATGGTGACTCCCCTCCCTCAGTGGCACAGCGGTATTTCTTAGGACTTACAACACTAGAAACTGCGTTTCGATACCCGTGGTGGGCAGAGCACAGATAGCCCATTCTGTAGCTTTGTACTTAATTACGAAAACCAAACAAAGTTTCGATGATAGTATTTTTCATTGTGTCTTAATTTACCAAATATAATTTTTTGGAGTAAATTTTCATTAAACGATGTCTTTAGCTTCAAACAATTATCCACGGATTATATCTTTTAATTTACTTTGCGGCTGATGCTCTGTAACAATGAACAAAAAGATAACATTTGGTTTAAGGCATGAAAAAATATCCAACATAAATAAGAGTTATAATAACTCGTCTGTGGTATTAATACAAAATTAAATTATGTCGTAACTGAGATAAAACACAGGCACTTATAATAAGTTAACTTATGTTCTCTATATTGAAAACAAGTGTTAGTATTTAGGTTTTATAATAAATAATTTATTAATTAAACAAGTAATGCTATGAACAATAGGTGATTATATAGATAAATGTTGTGAAGTAACAAAGATAGTTCATCCCGTTTAATGGAGAGTACGTTGTGAAGTCTGCTTTCATTCAGTTTCAACACCATTGTTGGGCATGAAATCTCTGTGTTTAATTGAAACAAGAACAAAGGCAGGTGATACAAGACTCGAAATGCTGTTAGCCGAGAAAATAGTGTTGAGCTTGAAGCATTATTGTTAAAACTTAAAAAACTGTTTAACAATACTTTTAAGGGTAACGTTATTTCAATAGTGATTAGAAACATAAATGTACCCCAGTGTTACGACGTTGAAGATAACTGTTCATAAGTATGCAAAATATGATCTATAAACATTAATTAAACATGTGTGTGGTTTGTTTTAAATTAAGCGCAAAGCCACACGTGGGCCATCTGCTCTAGCCGTCCCTAATTGAGAAGTGATAGACTATAGGGAAGGCAGATAATCAACACCAACCACCGCCAAACCTTGGGCTATTTTTTTACTAATGAATAGTGGAATTGACTGTAACTTTATAACGCCCCCAAGAATGAAAGGGCAAGCATGTTCGGTGACGGGGATTCGACCTCGCGACCCGCAAATTGTGAGTCTAGCGCCCGAACCTTCAGACTATGCCAGACCAAACAAGTGTGTAATACACCAATGTGTAAAATGTACAAAAGTTGTTTACATACTGGTGTTTTTACTATATCAAACCCAAATGGGGTGAATATCGTTGCATCCTAATCCAAGGATTCTACTAATCACCAAATAGGATTATATAGGATCACTTAAGACCCCCATAGCACCATATAGGACACCCGAAATACTATACTAGACCAAATGTATTCGCAATAGGACAAAATGTATAATAATTTCTAAAAAAAAATTATAAAACCACTTACAAAATAGTATTTGCAAGTTATACCGCTAACGTGAATCGCTGTCGTTATCGCATAGGACCAAGTAGGACATAAATGTCCCAAATATTATTATATAAAACCACATTTAAGAAAAATTTATCAAAATATGTGTCTAGGAAGTTTTATATTTACTGATGTTCAGAATAAAATATAAAAAAAAAATTACACAAAACACTAATTAAATACCTTGCAATCGAAATATGCTAAGTACATATGTTAACTATGCGATAAAGTTTCATATAATGAATATCATTAAAATGATATAACATCAAATACTCTTATTTAGATTAATAAATGAAATTTACACATAAACAATACGTCACAACTCTTAAATAAAGTTTAATACTTAGTTTAATAGTTTAATACTTGCTTAATATAAAGATTTGAAACATGGAAATTTTTCCATTTATTCACATTATGAACCTTAAGCATCATCATTTTTAAAAATCTTTCGTTTCTGATCTTGCTAATTAAAGAGATAATTTTATGTTTTTTCTATGGTGTTTAAAATTGTCTTTTACTCACCAAAGCGAACGTGTGTTAAAACAGGACTTGAAGAATGGGTAGCATTGGTGCTATTAATTTATTCTTCTAAGATAATCAGCAGGCAAGTTGTTGAGATACTAGAAATTAATATGAAACCCTATCTATCATTCCATTTACCATTTGTCATTGAGTTATACCGGTTTAAGGTAACTTCATCTCTCATCCGTAACCCTGGACAAGATCAAAGCTAAACAGTAAGGCTAAGTTTCTTATGGTGGTATTTTGAGTTGTCATTTATTCACCGCACGAACATATATTTATGTAGGATTGGAAGAATGATGCTATTATAAGGATCCTAGTCTTATTCTGTCGATTTGCCTTTGTCCAGAGCTACTGATGAGGGAAAATTCCCCGAAACCAGTAAAACTCACCGACAGGTGATGTATCAAATGACAGATTGGAGTTCATATTTATTTTCGATATAATTATGTTTCTTTCTACACATTGCATATTTACAAATGAAAAACTAGAAGAAATTATGTTGTTGTCATAATTGTATTTCAAACACCTGTGTATAAATGTGATATTTCGAATACTTTTATGCTAAATTGCTTTTCTTTACTAGTCACAATAATTTTCACGCTTAGCGGTAAGTCTGAGGACTTGTAACGCTTATGATCGGGTTTTGCTACTCGTGGTGGGCACAGCACAGACAACCTATTATGTAACTTTATGCTTCATAACAAACAAACAAAACTTAAACTATGATGTGTATAAAAATATTTGTATCATTTTCATTAATCATAAACTTTAACATTTGGACACATTACAAGTATAATTTATACTAAGGATAAACAGCGTAGGGCCAAGAAAGGATCTTTGAAGAACACGAAACTTGGACACATTACAAGTATAATTTATACTAAGGATAAATAGTGTAGAGCCAAGAACGGATCTTTGAAGAACCACACATTTGGACACATTACAAGTTTAAATTAAGGACAAACAGCGTTGGGCTAAGAAAGGATCTTTGAAAAAACACATATTTGTACACATTACAAGTATAATTGATATATATATATATATATACTAAGGATAAATAGTGTAGGGCCAAGAAAGGATCTTTGAAGAACCACATATTTGGACACATTACAACCATAACTTATACTAAGGATAAACAGCGTAGGGCCAAAAAATGGTCTTTGAAGAACCACACATTTGGACACATTACAAGTATAAATTAAGGATAAACAGCGTTGGGCTAAGAAAGGATCCTTGAAGAGCCCCACACCTGATATCAAGCTTATCAGAATTAAAATTCTAGATATCTATTTGGATATTTTGTTTAAGTGTACAGCTATACAATGGGATATCTGCACTGTGTCCGCCCGGGTAACAAGCTACGAATTCTAGCGATATAAGCCCTCCAGATTACCACGTTGAACATTTCGAAAACTACTAGCCAGAGTACCGTAATAAAAATTAAATACATATTAATAGAAACAAGTATTTCGCGTATATTCAAACGTCTGTGTTTTCCAAAACAAATCCTTAAACATTACCAGACTGGTGAATCTATAAAAGTCACTTAAAAGTTATTACCTTGAAAAATGAAAGATCAGCTTAGCTAGAGAACGAGAAGTTTGCTTTTGTGGTAAACGGTACTCTGTTAATCATAAGATCAAATTTACTTACAAGTCATTATATTATTATTAAGTTATGCAATATCCTAAGATGTGTCACAATAATTCGTGGCGGAAATTTTAATGTACGTCTTCGAATGTTATTTCCAGTCAAATGCCCAACAACAAACAGGACGAGCAGTGTAGTTTGTTTTTAAACACATATTTCTCTGGTAGCCCTTAATTCATGTTGGTTTTGATAGAAGTTAAATAAACAGATGGCTATCAACTACCTCTAATTGCGCGGTATTCGCTACTCCGAATGACTTGTTTAATTTTTTACAAAGTATCGCCTATAAGTTAATTAAGTATGTGACACCCTGTCGTAAGTCAATTGTTTATCAAATGATAGGAAGACCGATTTACGTAGTTTTGTATCCTGCTGGAAAAAAATAAAATCGCAATACTCCGTGGAATTTGTGTGTGTGTGTACTCTAAGTACGTACGCCAGTAATTTCGAAAGCTTCCATAAGAAAGAGAGATAGAGAGTTAAAAGACGTAGGGTTGGAATATAGAAGTTTGTTCCCTTTAATAAAGATGTTACAGAAAAACAACTTCAATAACTGACTGTACTGATGCCTCACACTTACACTTCTGTTTCCGTAAGTATGCGCGGGAATAGAACATATAAGGTGGGCTCTGGTAAGAACTAAATACGCTCTCAGAAAGTTCAGTAATTTTGTATGTCATACGACCTAATTATTGTTAATACTTTCGGCATATTAAAATTCCGCTCCTCTATACTGAATTCAAGCGTATATTAAATTCCAAACTGGTTAATACAGAAAATTTTACTTTATCTAAGGAGTTTCGTTGTTACTTACTCACCATGCGGTATTGGAGCCTAGGCTACCGTGGTACATTGTCCTTGGTTGATGACTTTATCTGGCGCCGTTTACTCCTTCAACTCACGCTTCATCTGTCCGTTCTGAGAGACTCAGAATATCGATCGCGCAGGCGCTGCGTTTGGCCACGCGCCAGCATCTCATCCAATGATCTTAGAGAGAACACTAGCACGCGGGAACTCTTCCGCTATTCCTTCGGAAGCAGTAATTTCAGGATGTTAAGTTTCACTGATGATTCATGTAGCAAATAAACTTCTTTTATTGGTTTTTTTATCCTCTTTTTTTTTCCGCTACGTCACGATATCCCATTCATCAGTAATGACCCAATAGCTATTAATATATTCTATACGACTTTACATTTCACGCAATAAGTGATGCATATTCTGTGTTTTTAAAAACAAAAACTATAAGCTCAATGGAGCTCAGTTCACCAGTTACCAGATTGTTCCTGCTATGAATACACAGGATTAATAAGTACAGATTTCGATGTTTACTGGCTAATAAAAACATTAATTAAAACTGCACTCGCAATCAACTTTTTTAAATTAATACTCATAGATAGAGTTAATTAGAGGGGGGGGGGAGCAGTACTTGTTTTTATGTGCCTCCCAATCAGACCAAAATGTGACACACACACTCTCTCACTTTAGAGATGCAAATTATATGCAAATTAACTATTCTAATTATGTTTCACTTTTCTTTTGGGGCTCATGGTTGTCTTATTTTGTTGTCATGTGTGTCATCATTTTATGTTATTATAGCCAGGGGTCTCAAAAGACAGAAGTGACTCGGGCCTCACTGAACCTCTGAAAGGGCCTGCTGATAGATAATAAACAAAATGTAAAGACTGCATAATCTCTCGTAATAAATTTGAATATTCTACACATGTAAAAATATCTTCTTCATACTGAAAACAAATAATAATAATAAATTGCATAATACTTGTAATTTACCCCCAAAACGTGTGAAAACAATTGAATTATAAAAATAACGTCCTTTTATGGTTTTGAATATTTCTAATATTAATTTTTATAATAGATACAAATCATAGTTTCACGAATTTAATCAAAATCAACCCATAAAGGTGTAATTTAACGAAAAAGTTTGCTCACTTGGACTTTAGCACGTCTATTGGTCATTTTCAACTTTGGTTTGACACCACTGACTCAGCGATAAGTCTGAAAGCTCATAACGCTAAAAATTGGGTTTCGATACCCGTGGTGAGAAGAGCACAGTAGTCAATTGTATAGCTTGTCGCTTAACTGCAACCAACCAAACCAACCTTTGGGTTTAAAATGTGAAAATATATAATACGCACAAACCAAACATAGTTATTCCAAATTTGTTTTAAGACTATTTAAGATTTTTTATGCTATCTTCTGAGATAAAGAATGAGAAATGAACAAGCTTCTCAGACATTATGTTAAAAAAAAGATACGTGCTTTTTTTTTTACAAGGTTTAACATTAAGATATATAATTAAAGCGTTTGAGAATGGCAGTGGTACGAATACAGATTGTTGTGTACACGGATTAACTTCTACATATTGAAGTACCTCGAACACTGGTTCAGTAATCGCCATAGGTATTATTTAGGAAAAGGAAACAAAAATAGTATACATTAAATTATAGAAATTTTCTTTTCTGTACTCGTAATCCTGCGTTCTCCGGTGGGTCAGTGGTAAATTAACATTAATTTGTTTAGTCTTTGAATAATATATTTTTAACACTGTTTACGTTGTTTCTTGCACATTTCACATGCCATAGCACGATTAAGTTATTTTTATAAGTATTTTACGAAGGGACTGGTCATGTGGATGGTGGGATTTTTTTAGAATTTTGCGCAAAGCTACACGAGGGCTATCTGCACTACCCGTCCTCAATATAGTAGTGATAAACTGAAGGGAAGGCAGCTAGTCAACACCACCCACCGCCAACTCTTGAGTTACTCTTTTACCATCGAATTATAACGTCCCCCACGGCTGAAACGGCGAGCATATTCGGTGACGGGGATTGGAACTCGCGGACCAAAGATTGCGAGTCGAGCGCCCTATACACCAGGCCATACCAGGCCCGAGCCAGGCCTATATGGATGAAACATTGCCATTTGAATATAGCAAGGTTCTGAGTAATAGTTGTATTCTTTTTATGATTCAAATATTAGCAGTTTATAGAAAAAAACTCGTGTCGCTCTTCATTTTATATAAAATTTCATGATACTTCTAGAAACGTCCTCCACCTAGTTAGCGGCAACCTTTCGGACTTACAACATTGAAATCAGGGGTTCGATTCCCTGCGGTGGACAGCTAGCCCATCGTGCTCTGTTCTAAAACAAACAGCTTTCTAAAAATAGTGGATAAGTTAATATCTAGGCAGACACAGCCAACATAAGGAAAAAATACTAAACGGACGCCATTAGCTATATAATAAAAAACGCCCCCCCCCCAGTGGCACAGCGGTATGTCTGCGGGCTTAGAACGCTAGAATCCGGGTTTCGATACCCGTGGTGGGCAGAGCACAGATAGCTCATTGTGTAGCATTGTGCTTAATTACAAACCAAAAGAAATCTATATATTTTTGATAGAAAACTGATATTGTTTCTGTGAAACTTTTTTCATCTTTTAAAGCGAAGTAAGTCAAAGATAACGTTTATCTCTGAGGCTGGAACCACATTTACAATAACCACGTATTTTGGCCGTTGACCTGTTCTTCAGAGTAGCTGTACTCATTGACGAATTATTTATTGGAGTGTATGTTTCACTTTGGTTCTTAGAATGATGATTACGATTGAACAGACGTTTACTTTCGATGAAATACATGCAGGGCTTTACAGGACTCGCATTGGTAAACTTTTCTGGTAGTTTTTTTTTTAAACTATTATTTTTTTTGTTATTAGTCTTTCTGTCACGTGTAATTGTTTAAAGTTTATATAAACGTTTATTGCACTATCTTTTTCGGTGTGTTGTGTTTGCAAGATCTTCCTTCTACGTTTTAAGTAATGGAAAAAGTTACTATCTTACAGAGTTCAATACAGTCACTTTATTTTTGTTTTCATTTTCACGTCTTAAAACGCAGAAACTGTTGATAAGAGATATTAACCTTTGAATCCATAATTTGATACACAAACTGTAAAAAGTATACACAGTTATCTCAGATTTGGTTTCGTCTTTGTAATGATAAGCTCGGCTGCTTGATATTGTGAAAATCTGAGCTCACAGAAGTAAACGTCTGAATTAAAGCACAGTGCATGTCACCATGTCCGGTCATAATCTATCTGCCGACTGTCCATCTTGACAATAGCAGGAGGCTTAGTCGTAAGGCCTTTCATGTGTAAAGCACGCTCGCTCCCTGCATGCTTTCCATATTCTATTTCGTAGTCTAGGAGGACGACTGTTTCCCAGCGCACATTCCAAAGAGCTAATTGCAAATAAATCCATTGGCGCAGCGTCCAGTGACTTGACTGGTGTGTGTTCGTATGAATAGCATAAATAACCGTTTCATTCTCCAGCCGCTTGAGGTATGCGACGGTTGAACGGGTATGTCGTAGAAGCATTCTGTGTATATGTGCTTGTGTTGCTTGTCCAGACAGAGATCTTTCTTGAATATGTTGCCTACTCTTACCTGATGCACGTGGATGACTTTTAACACTGACCTTTGTGTTCGTGGATTTTCACCTACTACAAAACGCTGCACTTTGCTTACCATTTGTATCATTTGTTGCAGGTTTTTGTCTAGAAGTTCCTGGTACCCTAAGCTGATACCTATTCTTTTGCTTTCTAATGTCATTAAGTACAAGGGGTACCTACATCTTGGAAAATTTTAAATTCCGATCTGAACACATCTTTATAATTTGAAATCTTGAGCTACAAAAGGCTGTCACATACCCTTCCGACAAACGATCAATTTTGGGTGGCATCACATGCCAAACCATTTCAAAATATAGTTCTGATGCATGTCGTTTCAACGCAACTTTTTTTTTCGGCTCATCCCTTCATATACCTATATCAATTACTACTTAACGCGGCCCACCGTGAGACAGCGGGTAAGTCTTTGGATTTGCAACCCTCTAATCAGCAGTTCGATTCCCATCGGTGGCCACAGCAGGTAACTCGATGTGGCTTTGTTATAACAAAACACACACACGTACTTAATGGATGAGGCTTTCGTGAATTTTTTATAATTTTTTTCTCTCTCATAGGATATTTGGTAAACTTTATAGCCAAATGAAATCTTCCTTCGTCAGCTGCTCAGTAGTAAAGCTTAAGAAACTTTTCAGGTTTACAAATATTAATTGATTAGATGCTAGTAATATCTTATTTGTCACTTTGTATACGAAGTTTCCTAGTTTCGTCGAAATAAAGTAGCTTTTTTAATGTTATTTTTTTAAATGATAACAGGTGGTATTGTATTCATTTTATTCTCTGTATCAAGGAAGGATGGGCATGTATCACATAAACCGTATCCCATTCTTGTATGTGAAAAATACATCACGCAAACTATATGAGTCACTCTCTTCTAACCCTAATCTGATTTTCTCTCCGCAAACCTTAGTTTGTGTGGAGCGTATATCAGAGAAACTGTTGATCTGCTCTTTTCTAACTCTAGTTTTTGTAGAATATTTCTCTCACAGACAGTTTGGAATTCTCTATTCTAATCCTTATTAGTTTTAAATATTTATTGCACAAAATATATGAGCTGCTCTCTTCGAATCTCACTTTAGGTCTTCTGTACAGATTTCTTCCAGAGATTTTTTCTCAGTTGACGTTTTTCAAAGTAAAACACCTTTTTCACAAATGAGGCTTTAAAACTTCCAATACAATCTAATAAAAATATTTTACAGCAAAAATTCCTTGTGGTATCCTGACTTCATCTTTTGGAAAAAAATTAATTGTTGTATCTAGAAATACCCAAAATTTACTCCGAGAGTGGTTTTAAATGATCCAGTTGTTAATAATGTCATCCGTTATAGTTCTGTGGGTTGCGGGTTCGAATCCCCGTCCCACCAAACATTTTCGCCCTTTCAGCCGTGGGGGCGTTATAATGTGACGGTCAATCCCACTATTCGTTGG